CCTCACAAAGGCAGGAGTAGACAGGATCCAGAGCCCAAGTAGGGGATTGGTCTCAGCATAAATACAACCTCTTCTACTGTGACTGGGGGAAGAGGAATAGTTTTTGGCAGGAAGCCCCTGAGATTCTCCGCTTACATCTCTATTATTTATGATGCAGGTGGCAAGACCACATGCTAAGAGTGTGTGTAGATGATGTGAAAGGATGGGAGGTTTGGAAAGCCTGATTCTACAGAGATTGGAAGCAGGTGCTGATGAGGAAAACTCTAGAAGATTCCTTGATGGCTCAGTTTGAGCTGGTGACCACAGATTTACAGGAGCACAGATCTGGATATGGTGATTTTCCCCGCTGGCCCCAGCAACCCAGGTCAAGCATTACAGGAGGTAGAGACTTGAGAGTGCCCAAGGCTGAGAACCTGTCGGGCAGATGCTACAGAAGAACAACCGTATGACTGAGCACACTGGCATGACAGTGACTCTGAAGACCACAGAAGCTCCTGATAGGTGCAGTGAGGGTCAGTGAGACTGAGAAAGTTGAGAGACTATAAGCAAACAGTGGGAGGCCTGCACTCTGATTTCAGAAGTGGACCAGTTCCAAGACTGAGGCATTTCAGTGTTACTCCCCCAGCCCCCAGCACTACTTCTCTGGCAACAGTCAGACCCTCCTCCCACCAACTCTACTTTTTCGTTCCCTCCTTTCCAGTTACTGCTAGCTTCCCTTTGCTCCTCTCCACTCCTTGTGTATTCCCTAACCCCGTCTGCACCTTTCTTTATTTGAGCTATCTGGCATGACTTCTGATTCCCACTGAGACATCCCAAACATGGCTTTTTATCTCGTTTTGTCTTTCACTAAAATTATAATACAATGAAAGTTAAATCGTATACCTTCCAAAATCACAAAACTTTAAAACGAGAAAAGCCCTTTAAAAATTCATCCATGCTTACAAATGAAACTAAGGGCCAGCCTTGTGAAAGGCAGCACTGTTAGCAAGCAGCAAAGGGAAAAAGCCCTTCAATGCCACACTTGTCACTGAGTGCTTAAGACGTGCCGGGCGTGAGTCCAGAGGCTCTCTGGATCCACCCTGTGCAGCTCACCTTCTAATAAACTGAAACCCGGTCTTCCCCAGTCTGTGGCCAGTGTTCTTTCCATTAGCGGCACCAAGATTTACTGTAATGGAAAATATTGCATAGAAGAATTGATAAACCCAAAAACAAAAATAAAGCAAACTGGATGGTTTATTTTTAACCTGAAATGCTACCAACAGTATTAAGGACGTTCAGGAAGCTTTTGAGCAGGCCTAATATAATTTTCCCAAAAAAAGAAAGAAAAAAACAAAGAGCTGCCTAACAAATCTGTCCCAAACTCTTCTGCCTGTCAGTCAAGTCGCTCCACCCATAATCCAAAACGCACTCACTTACCAGCCTCTGGGCCTTTGCTCCTGGCGTGCAGCCCAGTGTTCACACTCCTTCCTTCATCATGTTCTTATCCTCAAAGCTTCCTGATCGCCCCAAAGGATCCTTCCCACCTCTGGGCTTCTGCTGGACTTACACTCAATACTACAGAGTTAGTTCTTAGCTGTTCTTTAATTGAGAGGGCAAAAATGCCCTTATGAATCCAGGCTAATATTATTTAATTTTCAATATATGTGTCAGGCATATAGTAAGACTGAGAGATACAAAAATAATTAAAATTAATCCCTATCCAGCATGAGCTTAGTATTTTACTGGTGTATGTAAACACCATTAACAATATTGCCCCTAACAAAACACAGGGATAAGACAAGTGCTAAATGGTTATAGGATTCACTGAGTCAGAAAATTTCAAGGCAAGAAGGATTTCAGAGATAACCTAATTGTATGTATTCTCTGAATACACAAAAAAGGAAGCAGAGTCCAAAGCATCTAAGCAACTCAGCCAGTACTATGAAGCAGATCAGAGCCAGACCAAGGACCTGTGTATAGTTGCTTTGACGCCTAAGCCAAAATACCTCTTGACTCTGTGATTTTCAAATTGAGATCTTGTGAAAAGCAGTACTGTTAGCAAGCAGCAAAGGGAAAAACTTAGCAAGTTAATAATCATCTATTAGAAAAGTAATACAGTTCACCCTTAAGCAACACGGGTTTGAATGAGGCAGGTCCACATATAGACGGATTTTTCAACAAAAGTTGCCAAGCACAGGCCAAGCACAGTGGCTCAAGTCTACAATCCCAGCACATTGGGAGACTGAGGCAGGTGGATCACCTGAGGTCAGAAGTTCAAGACCAGCCTGGGAAACATAATGAAATCCCATTTCTAAAACTACAAAAATTAGCTGAGTGTGGTGGCGTGTGCCTGTAATCCCAGCTACTCGGGAGGCTGACACAGGAGCCAGGGAGGTGGAGGTTGCAAGTGAGCTGAGACTGAGCCACTGCACTCCAGCCTGGGCAACAGAGCAAGACTCCATATATATTTAAAAAATAATAAAAAGTTGCCAGGCACAGTGGGTCACACCTATAATCCCAGCACTCTGGGAGGCAGAGTTCAGAAGTTCAAGACCAACCTGGGCAACATAGTGAGACCTCCTCTCCACGAATAATTTTAAAAATTAGTCAAACAAGGTGGCACGTACCTGAAGTCCCAGCTACTTGGGAGGCTGAGGTGGGAGGATTTCTGGGTCCCTGACAGTCTAGGCTGCAGTGTGTTGTGAATGTGCCACTGCACTCTAGCCTGGGTGACAGAGTGAGACCCCCTTTCAATCAATTAATCAATCAATAAGCAAACTGATATCCAAGGATGCTGATGGGTGTGTCACCTACCGCTTTAAGATTTATAATTTCCCCACAATTACTTTTGTTTGTGTATTCATGTCAATAATAATTTGAAACTAACAGAAACATACTCTAAAGCATTTGACTAGCAGTCAACACTACCACCATGTGATTTCAATAGTTTCAAAATCCTCTCAACAACGACCGAAAATTCATCCTTTCAATAAACATTTAAGCACCTACTATGTGGCAGATGCTGGAGTAGGAGCCCTGGCTAGATTAAGTTGGGTAATCTAGAAAAGGAGTGGAAATGTAACTGAGAGAATACCCCTGCAACTAGCATTTCCTGTATGGCCTAATCTTACTGCTGCTTGACACCAGAAATTATTAAAAGTTCTTTGCTAGAAGACTATCCGTGCAAAACTTTTTGAGTACCAACTTCATTGCCCATAGGATTCTTTCATAATGGGCTCCCAAGAACTTAACTTAGCAAGTTAATAATCATCTTTTAGAAAAGTAATACAGTTGACCCTTCAGCAACAGAGGTTGGGATGAGGCAGCTCCACTTATACACGGACTTATTTCAATAAAAGTTGCACTAAATGTGCCTGCCTCTCCCACTTCCCCTTCCACCTCCTCCATCTCTTCCATCTCTGCCACCCCTGAGAAAATCCCTCCTCTTCCTCCTCCTCAACTTACTCATGAAGACTTATGGGGATGAAAACCTTCATGATGCTCCACTTCCACTCAAGAGTAAATACTTTTTCTCTTCCTTGTGATTTTCTTAGCATTTTCCTCTCTCTAGGTTACTTTATTATCATACAGTGTATAATACATATAACATACAAAATACATGTTAGTCAGCTGTTTACGTATCAGTAAGGCTTCTTTCTGGTCGACAGGAGGCTATTAGGAGTTAAGTCCTGGGGTAATAAAAGTTACATGGGAATTTTTGATTGCGTGGGTACCCTAACCCCAGTGTTGTTCAAGGGTCAACTGTAGTTCAAAATGGCATTCAGTGCAGGAAATTAAAAACTTGACAAGAAAAAAAGACTAGTTTCTAAAACTTCCAAGAGTTGTTCCAAGTCACACTGGGGGAATCTCTCCTCTGCTTAAATTTATTAACTTTCTACCTATGCAAACAAGAGGTAAGTACTAAGCACACATCACTCTAGTAATACTCTGCGAATCACCAACTTTTAAAAGCACAAAAATCATCCTTGGGAGGATTTTGGCTTTCAGTTGATTTGTCATTAAAGGAGTCAGTTACACAAATCATGGGCCAGTATGTACTAACATTCATAAACAAAACATTATTATGCACTAGGAGACAGATTCATACGTAAGCTCAGAACTAACCTTTCAATACTGCATAGTGCACACAAATGACTTAACTAAAGTGTGGCTAACTTAGAAAAATATTTAAGTGTCCCTTGTAAGTTTACTCACAAATTCACAAAGGCATCAAACTTAAAATTTCCCAGATTTATTAGTATGTTGACCTTTGGCAGATTAAAAATAACTTACTTCCATTCAAAGACGAGTTGTTTCAAGAACTGTTTCTTGGAACTAAGTGTTTATTTAAAAACCTTGGGATACAGGGTTATGCATCACCAGGCTTCCAGACTGCTGGTGTGCGGACTTGGAGCCGTTGCGCAAGGCCTCGATGGCAGCTACAACAGGAACTAAGGCTCTTTGCTCAAGCACTGAGCCGCCGCTCCCCCATCTGTAAAATGGGGTCACAGGGCAGCGTCTACCCACGCGCGAGGATCAAGTCTGTGCACGCAAACGCTGACAACAGTGGCAAGCGCCTTTTAAGCGCTAAGGACAGCCAGAGCGGGATGCATTCCTAGAGAGACAGGTAAAACCTGCCTCGTGTTTACTTTCCAAGAGAAATTCTCAAATCTCAGAGTGGCAACTACGCACGGCGCGTGTGGGGGACAGTTCCGGCAGACGGGGCGCGGGGTCTGCCCTCTGCAGCCCACACGCCCCGCACCGGCGCAGGTGGGGACGGCAGGGCTGGGAACCGCGGCGATAGGCACAGAGCCCCGCTGGCGCCTAACGGCGGGGGTAGGGACGGCGGGGCTGGGAAGTGCGCGGGGTCGCAGGGCCCCGCAGGTGACGGACGGCGAGGGTGGGCGCGGCTGTCCCTTCACAACTGAGGCCTGGACGGACGCCGCCATCGGCCGCCTCCGTGCGGCTGATGTCCATGCCCCGCTGGCCTTCGGCCAGGCCCTTCATCCTCCCACACATACCTCCAGCCAGCCTGCAGCTCCCCACGGCCGGCAAAGACTGGGCCGGGTGGGTCTCGCCGAAGGCTCCGCGGCAGCCAGCTGCCGGCACCTCACTTCCGCCCGCCGCGAGCGCCGAGCGCGTAGATCCTCCGGGCAGTCGAGCGCCGAGTCCTCGATGGGCGGAGCCTCCCGGGGAGGGTAGTGGAGGGAGGGGACCCGCGCGGGTGCGGGAGGTCAGCAGGGGCCGTGGGCGGTGGACGCTGGACTGTCTTGGGTTCCGAGGGACCCAGCCGCCTGAATGGACACGAGTAGGAGGTTTTTGCTGGGCGTCTTTGCAGTGGCGGGAAGTGGGGAGCTGTGAGGAAGGAAGAGGATACAAGCTCGGGGGCGGGCCGGGTGCACCATTCATCCCCGAGCCCCCGGTGACCTCAAAGAGGCTTCGAGATGATAGTGCGTTTATGGGGCCACAGTTCACAACGATGGGCCCTGCACCGGGTCAGGGGACCGCTCCGGAACCGGGGGATGCATGGAATCAGAGGGCTGCACCAGGTCAGGGGGCCGCGCCGAGACGGGAAGAAGCATCGGGTCAGGAGGATGCACTGGATTGTGCATCCCCAGAGGGGAATGTTGGCTGAGGAAGATGTACCAACTCAGAGGGCAGCACTGGGTCAGAAGGATGCACTGGAGTCAGGGGACTCTACCAGGTCAGGGGCCGCATCAGATCAGGAGGAGGCACTGGGGTCGGAGCGGAGGCAACACTGAGTCAGGAGCAACCCTGGGTCAGGAGGATGCATGGGGTCAGGGGGCTGCAGGGGTTTAGAGGCTGCACTGGGTCAGGGCGCCGCACCAGGTCAGAGGATGCGCAGAGTCGGAGAGATGCTGGGGATCGGGGATGCACGGAGTCGGGGGAATGCTCGGGGTCAGGGGAATGCTCGGGGTCGGGGGTGGGGGGAGAGGGGGGATGCTCGGGGTCAGGGAGGGGATGCTCAGGGTTGAGGGGATGCTCAGGGTCACGGAAGGGGTGCTTGGCGTCTGAGGAATGCAGAGTTGTGGGGGATGCTCAGGGTCAGGGGGCTATGGCCAAGGAGAAAGGACAATCAGGAAAGTAGGGGCAGCGGATTCTGGAAACTAAATAGTTTCAGTAAGGAGGAATTGATTGGCAATGTTCAGAAATACTATGAGGCCAAGACTCCGAAGATAATTGAGTTTGGCATATGCCAGTCATTGACACCCTTGACAAAAGCAGTTCAAAGGACTGTGGGGAACCTACATCTCATCAGAGTGGACTGTGAAAAGAATATTAAGTGAAGTGGAAAAAAGTGAGTTTAGACAACCTGGGTTGGCAGATTTAGCAATAAAAATACAAATACCCAGTAAAGTTGAATTTTCAGATAAACAACAAGTAATTTTTAAGGTAGGTATATTGCTAAACTAATGTAGCATGGGATATACATCTACCAAAACATTGTTTTAGTATTTGTTAGGGTAAGTATGGCCGAAGTATTGCATGGGACATACATATATTAAATTATTATTTATCTGAAATTCAAATTTAACTAGATGTTCTGTATTTTTTTTTTTTTAGACAGAGTCTCACTCTGATGCCAGACTGGAGTACAGTGATGCGATCTCAGCTCACTGCAACTTCTGCCTCCCAGGTTCAGGTGATTCTCCTGCCTCAGCCTCCCAAGTAGCTGGGACTACAGGCACGTGCCACCATGCCTGGCTAATTTTTTATTTTTAATAGAGATGGGGTTTCACCATGTTAGCCAGGATGGTCTCGATCTCCTGACCTCCTCGTGATCCGCCCGCCTTGGCTGCCCAAAGTGCTGGGATTACAGGCGTGAGCCACCGTGCCCGGCACTGTTTGTATTTTTATCTGGCTCGTTTGACTACCACTCTGAGGAGTTTTGTGATCAAGGGAGCAGAGATATGGGATAGTTGCTAGAGGAGCATGGCATCAAGGAAAATGTCTGTTTTAAGATGGGAGCTATGAACCTAACGGGTAAAGAGGGAAGTGCTGATGTGGGAGAGAGAGGGAGCAACTGCAGAGCAATCTTTGAAAAAGGTAAGGGAGGGTAGGACCTATTGCACAAGGGGCAGAAGTTGTTCTTAGAAAGGAGTCAGCTGAGTTGAGCTGTGTAGTAGGAGAGCAAGCAGAATGTGAAGCTACAGGTGTGGTGGGTTGGTAGCCATGGTGAGTGGAAAGTCAGAAAATACTGTTTTCTGATTGCTTCTATTTCATTCGCAAAGGAACTAACAAGATCATCTATGAGCAGGGAATAGGAGCAAGGGAGAATTGAGAAGGGATGAGATTATTATCTTAGACATTGTTAGACATTGTTTAAGGCAAATTACTAAGGATATATAGTGAGATTGCCAGGGAGAGCAGACTGCCCACTTGGGATGTGTGGTCTTAAGTCTCAAATGGAAGCAGTCAGCTTGCTTGTGTGGGTTTTGGCTGCTCTGGTGCAGGCAGGGAGTTAGTAGAAAATTAGTTGTAGCTGAGACTGGAGTTTGGCACAGAAGAAGGAGCAGGGCACAGAGGAGTTCAGGGTCTGTGCAAAGAAATGACATTAGACAGGACCATGGAGTTTAACCTGGTATGACGGGGTATTTAGATGGATTTTTCTGGTTATCCTGGAATTGGTCACTTGCACTGGGAAAGATCGCAGATAACTAAGGTGACCACATGTTCCACTTTGCCTGGGATGACTCGGATTTGTGTCTGTAGTGATGGCTTAATTATTGAGTACCCCTTTTACTGTCAAAAGTGTTCCTTTTAGACCCCGTATGGTCACCCTAAAGTCTCCTCACACTATAAAGGAACCCCCCAAGCAATTGGGTAAAACACCTCTTGGAGCTTATGAGGAATTCACTCAGCTGTTCTAATCTGGGTTAGTACTTGCTGGCCCGAGACACCCATGAGCCTGTGCTTGCTGCTGTCAGAGTGGAGCTGAGCATCAGTGCAGTTTTGGCAGAGTTGGGCTGCCCTCAGGACGATATGTGACCAAGAGTGTGTGCCAGCTTTTGGTACAAATTCCTAAAAGTAGGGGACGTGCTGGAGAAGCCAGTAACAGCTGGACGGAGAGGAGGGTGGCTGAGAAGCAGCTGCATAGCCCTCCTGTGGATATCGCAGCCTCTCAGCCAAAGAACTCACACATGCCCTTAGTCTTTGGCCCATCTATGTGTCTTATATGAATGCCCGCCCAGCAGAAAGCATCCACAGCAGGGCACGGAACAAATGGGATGATTCAGCCAGGGCAAGTTAGGCTGTCTCTGCACAATGTCCATTCACAGGGTTGGAGGCTACAGGGACCCACCGAACAAGGCAGATCTAGATAGTGCCTCTGCCCTTTTCTTCAGCCACACAGGCCATTGGGCAGCCCATGGTATGGTGGCTGCCATCCCTCAAGAAGACCGAGCAGCCAGTTGGTGGCAAGTTGATTTCCATAGGCCCAGATGCATCTTCTGGGTTTGGGTTTGTCTTTCTTGCCTGCAGAGCCTTGGTAGGCATGACTACCCAGTTGCTTACAGAATGTCTTGCTTTATCATCACAGGATTTCCCATAATATCACCTTGGGCCAAGGACCCTTGTAAGAGCAAAAGAGGGAGACAATGGGGATGGGACCACAAGCTCCACTGGTTCCACCCTAGATCGCAGACCCCGCACTGCCACCATGATAAGGCATCAGCATGGCCCCACAAAGGCACAAGGAAGGCTCCAGCAGCGTTGGAAGCTGTGCTGTGGGATGCAGTATATATTCAGAACTTAATAGCAGTGTATGGTGCTGCATCCCCGGTAGCTAGAGGCCTGGCCCCTGGAATGTGCTCTCCCAGGTGACACAGGTTCACTAAATCTAAAAGCCTCTCCTTATTTGGGGTTCTCATGCAGGCAACAAAATTTGGTCCTGATTTTGAGTAAGAAACAGGGGAGTGAGGATTATTTCTGGAAGGCAGGGGACTCACTGGTATCTTTTCCTTGCTTGGTGATACCAGTAAATGAGCAATGCAGCAGCCCTAGCCTGATGAGGAATGGTAACCAAAGGCTCAGAGATCACAGGGAAGAGGGTCTGGGTCACTTCATCGAGGAAGCAGCCTGGGCCACAGAAGTGCTGGCTGCAGGTGAGGAGAACTGAGCCAAGTGATTAAAGAAGAAGATGATGAAAATCACTATGGCCTTAGAGCTAACTGCAGCAGTGGGCATTATAGCCCGACCTACTGACCTTTCTGAGGTGGGGTTTTTCCCTGAGTAAAGTATGACTGGACACCATCATGAGGAATCAGGGCCAGATATCTGTAGCAGTGGATCTGCCATGCAAGGCAGGACAGTAGCAGAGGCCATCAGTGCCCACCCAGATTCACCCAGCTAAAGGCTGCTTCTGGGAACACCTGCATCTCTTTTTGTGCTTGACAGATTTCTTCCTGGAGCAGGGCAAGCTGGAAGCCCTAGAGAGTTAATTCAGAAGCAGGCTCAGCCAATGGCAGGCAAGGATTTAGTGTGTAAATTCCCTGGCGTAGCTCCTCATGGCTGGGGTTGGCAGGGCATGCCCCATTACTCCTCCCTGGAGTCCCAGGGAGGCTGCTCCAGCCTCCCCTGGGGAAGTGCCTCATAGCACATCTTTATTGGCCTCCTTACTCCCCTCCTGCTTTTTCCTGCTGTCACCTCCCAAGTGAAATGCTAGCCCTGGGTCAGCTTCTGGGGGAATCCAGTCAAGGTTTTTATTATCACAGACTAAAAACAACCTATACTTACTACCATTCAAATATATATTTGTTATTAGAGACAGGGTCTCACTCTGCCACCTAGGCTGGGGTGCATTTATGAGATCCTATCTCACTGTAGCCTTGAACTCCTGGGCTTAAGGATCCTCCTCTTCAGCCTTCAGAGTAACTAGACTACAGATGCGTGCCACCATACATGGCTAATTTTTGTTGCTGTTTTTTGTAGAAATGGAGTCTCACTCTGCTGCCCAGCCTAGTCTTGAACTCCTGTGCTTAAGCAGTCCTCCCATAGCATGGACCACCACACCCAGACTCAAGTATCAGTGTGCTGAATTGCACACTTATTAGGGAAATATGTCCTAGAACAAAAAAAAAAGGTGATGTGGAACCTAGCATGACTTCGTTTTTCTCTCCTTGTTATCAGAGATGTGTTGAAATACA